GTTGAGTATGATGCTACAAGCTTGGCACACCTATTTTTGGGCAATTTATCCCATTCTTCTTTGCAGTACCTCTCAAGCTCCATCAGGATGGATGGGGAGTGTCGGTGCCCAGCCATTTTTAGATCTCTCCAGAGATGTTCAATCAGGTTCAAGTCTAGGCTCTGGCTGGGCCACTCCACAGCATTCACAGAGTTGGCCCGTAGCCACTCCTTTGTTATGTGGGCTGTGTGCTTAGGGTCGTTGTCCTGTTGAAAGATGACCCGTCGGCCCAGTCTAAGGTCCAGAGCACTCTGGAACAGGTTTTCATCAAGGATGTCTCTGTATATTGCTGCATTCATCTTTCCTTCGATCCTGACTAGTCTCCCAGTTCCTGGCGCTGAAAAACATCTTAAAAGCATGAAGCTGCCACCACCATGCTTCACTGTAGGGATGGTATTGTCCAGGTGGTGAGCGGTACCTGCTTTCCTCCAGACATGACAATTGGCATTCAGGCCAAAGAGTTCAATCTTTGTTTCAACAGACCAGAGAGTTTTGTTTCTCATGGTCTTGAGAGTCCCTCAGGTGCCTTTTGGCAAACTCCAGGCGGGGTGGTCATTTGCCTTTTACCGATATTGTTGTTCTTCTGGAAAGTTGTCCTCTCTCCACAGAGAAATGCTGGAGCTCTTTCAGAGTGACCATCAGGTGCTTGGTTACCTCCCTGACTAAGGCCCTTCTCCCTTGATAGCTCATTTTGGCCGGGTGGCCCGCTCTAGTAAGATTCCTGGTGGTTCCAAACTTCTTTTATTTACGGATGATGGAGGCCACTGTGCTCATTGGGACCTTCAATGCTGCAGAAATGTTTCTGTACCCTTCCCCAGATCTATGCCTTGATACAATCCTGTTTCAGAAGTCTGCAGACAATTCCTTGGACTTCATGGCTTGGTTTGTGCTCTGACATGCATTGTTAACTCTGGGGCCTTATATAGACAGGTTTATGCCTTTCCTAATCCTGTCCAATCAACTGAATTTTTCCACAGCTGGAGTCCAATCAAGTTGTGGAAACATCTCAAGGATGATCAGTGGGAACAGAATGCACCAGAGCTCAATTTTGAGTGTCATGGCAAAGGCTGTGAATACTTATGTACATGTGTTTTTTATCGTTTTTTTAAAATTTGTAATAAATTGTAAAGATTTCAAAACAAACTTCGTTCACCTTGTCATTATGGGGTATTGTTTGTAGAATGTTGAGGGAAAAAATGAATTTAATCCATTTTGGAATAAGGCTGTAACATAACAAAATGTGACAAAAGTTAAGCGCTGGGAATACTTTCTGGATGCACTGTATTTGAATTCACCACAATCTCACTTTAAGCGTAACTAAAAAGAAAACCTATACTGCTATAAACGTTAACTATTTGTCACCTAAAATAGTATTTACTATTTCATTTTTTATATTTTAAATAGTTTTTAATTATATTATACACACAAACCCGAACATTTTAAATATGAGAAATGAGATTCCTACCCAAAATTTTATGGGTTTGATTTACTAAAACTGTAGAGTGCAAAATCTTGTGCAGCTGTGTATGGTTTCAATAAGCTTTGACAATAAAACCTGGAAGTAGATTGTTTGTTTTTTTGGTTTTCTTTTTTTGCAGAGCTGTACCAGATTTTGCACTCTCAGGGCCAGTTCACACTACAAAAAATGCACTCCGGTTGCATTCTGGGTATGCTTTTGCTTACAGTTAACACCACACACAGTTCCAGTGCAACTGCAATTTTGATGCAGTTTGCTATGTACCAGTATGGTTCTGTGCAGAAAAAAATGCAGCATGTTCTACTTTTTTATTTTCTGCTCCGGAAACTGACTCAAACTGACTTCCATGTATTCCAATGGCCCTGGTTCACACTAGTGCAAACACTGTGCATGCATTTTTGATGCAGAAAAAAGCGCACTAAACTGCATCTAGTGTGAAGTAGCCCTCAAGCTTTTCGTAAATCAACCATTATGGGTTTTCTAAAGATAGAGCCACATCAGTAATTTTCTCTTTCAGACAGGCTCCCTTTCATTTAAACCTCGTATATAGATGTTTGGAAGAAGGGGAAGGAGTCCAATTCTCTGACTCAATGTGTGTGGAAATTTCTGCTGGAGCTGCTGATCTCTAATTTTCAATGCTGTAGAAATGCTGTAAAACGTGTACAGGGGAACCAAGAGCCCCTCTTGCTGGCTGGATAGAAGAATACATACAATTCATATGCATTGATTCATATTTACCATTCAAATTTTTTAAAAAAGAAAATATTTTTAACATTTTGTATTTTAGTCTTGGCCACAGCAAAAAAATATGTACAAAATGCCCTGTGACTCATGATGCTGACTCAATCCATCTCTACTTTAGATGCCAGCCCCTATTATTGATCCAGCTATTACCAATAGCAAGGTAGGAGGGAATGAGCCAAGTGTAGGAGATATTTCCTAAAGAGTGCCACTTTTCTGGATTAAATAATAGGTTGGAACTGGGTGCAGCATGTGAAGTAAGAGTGTACTTACTTTTTATAGACCCTAATTAAACCTATGTGTAATGGAAATGCAGGATTAAATGCACATTACTACAGCACGCAATCTGTGTGGTGCAGTTCCATTCCTTTTCAATGGCTTCCCAGATTCACAGCTACAGTATCCTGCAATCTGCAGCGCACCACAAAACACTTGCCATGTGTTGTGGTGTGCTACGTTACAAAAGTGTCATCAATTTTTATGGGCCTTTGAGGTGCGTTGGCAGCTAATTCCAAATGAGCATCTCAGAAGTATACCTTTTATATATTGCATCTTACCAGTCCTTAGATCTGGTGACTGCATTAGTTTTTATCAAGAAAAATAAAATTCAACGAGCGCTTAGATTCAAAGTAGCAACTAGAACACTAAAAAGGGAAACCATAAAACCTTCTATAAAACCATATAAGACATGTAGCGCTAAATCAACGTGACCTAAATCATTAATATCAGTAAAACACAATATAAATCACCATATAAAAAATAATTGTGGATAACATCTGTACGACCATATATCAAAGTGGTAAATGTCCCACAGTGGTATGAATTATTCCAATATTAAAATTCAACAGGTGTATTAATAGATGACTTCTGTTAATCCCAGTAGTAACTGTAGTCCAGTGACGTGTGAAAGGAAATGATAAAATTGCACACTCACCAGAGGCGCAATATAAATGCGTTTATAAATCAGATAAGCCCGACGTTCCCTCAACTCTTGGAAAAAGATGTAGCCTGGAATGGAACAACCTCTTCTGTAACTTCTAGAGGTCCCCTTTAGGTCTACGATGAGAGTCTGCAACAGATGTCTCTCCTCTGGGCCCTGGGATGGTCACCTTGGGTTCCTGGGGGATTAAGTGCTCGGTACAGAGCAACAATTGGTGCCCATAGTGTAGTATTTCACATGTAAAATGTTTTATTTAGTTATGAAAAAGGTAAATGAGCACACATTCAAATAATACTCATGGGTCAGTATGGAGTAAAACTTCTGCAAATAGGTAGCATGGAATGAAATCTGCAAATAGGTATGCAGTCTAAAAGCTGCTGAGTGCACTAACCAGCTAGTAACAAAGGTGGCCGCCGGACCTCCGTGATCCGGCGGCTTGACGTCTCAGCGTGCGGGGCTCCTCCTTAATGCATTTCGTACCAAACGTACATTTTCAAAAGGGGTGTGCACCAAAATTAGTTTTCATGCTTTTTTTTTTTTTCCCACCTATTGCTTGTGCTAGTAGCATATTTCCTGTCCTGGGGTGACAGCACCTAACCACTTGGCTATCTTAGGACAACAGAAACGGGACTACAAAAACCTCCCTTTCTTCTCCTTCCCATTTCATAGAACAGGGTTCTATAGTCCTTTGAGAAAACTGTAACTGATAACATTGCAGCATAGGCAGAGAGAACAGGAAATGAGCTGACCAGATCTCCCATAGGATTAACAGGTATTATTTTGCACATATGTTTAGGCTCTGCTCACACTGCTGCGATCCCATTGTCATGCGATTTCTAAAGCCATAGGGTTCCTGCGCAGCTCCAAAATGTTGCACTACTCTGTGATGTGATCTTTCTTCAATAAATAAACGTTTGGACTTAATTGAGGACCATGGTGTGCTGATAAATACACTGAGGAGTCTATGGCACTCAAGTTGTGTGAAAGTCACATCAAAATGGCGTCGGAACCTTTTAAGTGGGTCGCATTGAGTGGAACTGCTGCAGTTGAAATAAATGGGTTTCGAATTGTCATGTGACTGTGTCGCAAGTTCGCAGCAGTGTGATCCGGGGCTTAAAGGTTTATTGAGCTTTCAGTATAACCAACCAAAAGGGACCAAAGACAGGAATTGCTAGGGTTTAGTTACCATTTAGGGGCAGCGAGCTGTGTCTGAAGGACCCCAAAACTAGTTGAGGTAATTTTGTAAACTAATGGGAAATGTTTTTTGTTTGTTTTACACTGCAATTTGGAGTACAGACACTTGAATGCCCACTTTGGATTCTATTTACAATGTATCTACATGACTTTCACCCAATATTCACCCACATCTTCTAAGCCCCAGTTCACACTGCTCTACTGCCACTTTGTGAATTGCGACACATAGTCAAATGACAGTTGAAAACCCATTAATTTCAATTGCCGCCATTCCACTCAATGCAAGTGAAGTCGCAACCACTTATACCTCCTCCTTCCTGCCCAGGCCAATTTCCAGCTTTCAGCGCTGTTGCACTTTGACAATTGTGTGGTCATGCAACACTGTACCCATATGAAATTTTTATCATTTTTTTGTGACAGAGCTTTGTTTTGGTGGTATTTAATCACCTCTGGGTTTTTTTTTTTTTTCTTAAACCAAAAACCACTGAAAATTTAGAGAAAAAGTTTTTTTCTTAGTTTTTGTTATAACATTTTCTAAATTAAGTGGTTTTTCTCCTTCGCTGATGTGCGCTAATGAGGCTGCAGTGATGGGCACTGATGGGCATTGACAGGCATCACTGATGGGCACTGAAAGGCAGCACTCATATATGGCACTGATAGGCGGCACTGACTGGCACTGATAGGCGGCACTGGCACTGATTGGCACTGATGGCATTGATAGGTGGCACTGATGGGTGACACTGAAAGGCAGCTCAGATGGGCACTGATGTGTCATTGATGTGCACTGGTAGGCACTGGCAGGTGGCATGGATGAGCACTGACATAAGGCACTGATGGACACTGACAGGTGGCATTGCTGGGGCTACACAGATCATCAGGGCACACTGATCATCAGTGCCCTGATGATCAGTGTACATGTCCCCTCCGAGGGATGCCGTTTACCGGCTCTCCTCTTGAGCTGTCAGGGTGACAGCTCGTGAGGAGAGAAATGCTGATAACCGGCATTTCCCTATTTACATTCAATCAGCTATTATTGGACACAGCTGATCACATGACCGAGCCGACATCTTCGGCTCTTTCCGTTGATTGGTGATCCACAGCGCACCGCCGATCGCTCCCGGAGCCGCGCATGCTCAGTTAGAATTGGAGGACGTCATATGACGTCCTCCCAGAACGAGAGAACCACCTTGCATCCCTTATTTTCCTATATGGTGGGCAGGAGGAGGTTAAAAACTGTTCCTGTGGTACTTTGATGCGACTTGAGTGCCAAAGACTCCTCTAATCGTAAGCAAGTTGCACTGGAAATCGCACGATATTGGGGTCGTAGCTGCGTGAACCGAGCCTAAATGGATTCAGCTGGAAGAATGCATCAATCATGTGAAAACATTTATAAATAGACTCCTTCATGTTTTCATAGCTACCATTTGCTGAATAAATGCCCTGTATACTGTTTGGAGACAAGTCAGGATTCTGCTAAAAATTTCCCTCTGAGTTAACAGCAGCCAAACTGGTTGTACACAACAAGCGCAGTTACCTAGAGGGGGAAAGGGAATAAACTTGACAGGTCCTCCACTTAATTGCTTTTGTACTGTCAGTCAAGTGGGGTGTTCCAGAGTTTGGCTGAACTTCTAAGCATTGCTGCCACACACACGTAAAGATGAAACGATACCTTTTTTTTTTTTTTTTTTTTTTTGAACATGGCAATGCTGGTCAAAACTTGTGAAGCTTTCCAGCTAATCTGTTGGTAAGAGTTGAAACGTCTTATACAAAATTCTCCACCCTTCAGTCGCTCTTCGCCTTACTTTTCAACACTTTTTTTTTTTTTTTACCCCCTCTTAACAAAAAACAGCAAGAGAACTTTGTTTTGATTTATTTTTGTATCCGTGTTGAGAGTGATTGGTTATACACCACACAATGGGTCACTTAACCTAATTCACAAGTCTGCTTATTTTAAATAATGAATGTCATTGATGCATGTTATAAAATGAAAAAAAAAGTCACATGTTAAAGCCTAACTGCAGGAGTTATTTGCTCATTATTTGTAGGGAATTATAGAACGGCCTCTTTCACTTACCTGATTCCTCGCTCCAGTGCTCTCCACCCCAAACTCTGGTCTTTGGATGGCCTTAGCATCATCACACACAATACAGAGACATTAACCCTTTGATATGTTGATGAGGCTGGAGTGCTGCCTGAGAAGCTCGCGGCTTACAGAGCAGCTACCAGGGTTACTGATCACTACACTAGAGGGAGTCTGCTGGAACGTGGAGCAATGCAGGCCATAGACGGGTCGAAAATCGGCCGATTTTTCTTTTTAAAAAACGAAAAATCGGTCATTCAAGCGGCCGACGTTACCAGCAACGGTAAAAAAAATCGGCTGATTTTCATCCCGTCTGCAGCCGGCAAAAAGTGTCCCTGCAGAGAGCTCCACTATTTCTTTGACAGTTCCTTGACATTTATAGCGGTTGCAACAATGCATTTGTATCCATTTAGGATACAGATGTTTTTATTCGGAAACAAATAGATACATTGTTGCAACTGCTATAAATGTCAAGGAACTGTCAAAGAAATAGTGGAGCTCTCTGCAGGGACACTTTTTGCCAGACTGGAATTCCTCTTCTTTATCCTCTTCTCCTTCTTCTTCTTCTTCCTCTTCTTCTTTCTTCTTCTTCTTCTCTCTCTTCTTCTCCCTCTCCCTCTTCCTCTTCTTCCTCTCTCCTCTTCTCCCTCTTCTTCTCCTCTTCTTCTTCTTCTCCCTTTCTTCTCTCCTCTTCTTCTTCTTCTTCTTCTTCTCTTCTTCTTCCCTCTCTTCTTCTTCTTCTTCTTCTCCCTCTTCTTCTTCCTTCTTCTTCCCTCTCTTCTCCTTCTTCTCCTCTCTCTTCTTCCTCTTCCTCTTCCTCTCTTCCTCTCTTCTCTTCCTCTTCCTCCTCTTCTTCCTCTTCTTCTTCTTCATCCTCTTCTTCTCTTCTTCCTCCTCTTCTTCTTCTTCTTCATCTTCTCTTCTTCTTCTTCTTCTTCATTCCTCTTCTTCTTCTTCTCCTCTTCTTCTTCCTCCTCTTCTTCTTCTTCCTCTTCTTCTTCTTCCTTCTTCTTCTTCTCCTCCTCTTCTTCTCCTCCTCCTCTTCTTCTTCTCCTCCTCTTCTTCTTCCTCCTCCTCTTCTTCTTCTTCCTCCTTCTTCTTCTTCTTCATCCTCTTCTTCTTGTTCCTCTTCCTCTTCCTCTTCATCCCTCTTGTTCTTCCTCCTCTTCTTTCTGCTTCTTCTAATTCTTCTTCTTCTTCTTCTTCTTCTTCTTCTTCTTCTTCTTCTTCTCCTCCTCTTCCTTCTTCTCCTCCTCTTCCTTCTTCTTCCTCCTCCTCTTCCTTCTTCTTCCTCCTCCTCTTCCTTCTTCTTCTCCTCTTCCTTCTTCTTCTTCTTTCTTCCTTCTTCTTCTTCTTCTTCTCTCCTCTTCCTTCTTCTTCTCCTCCTCTTCTTCTTCTTCCTCTCCTCTTCCTTCTTCTTCTTCCTCCTCTTCTTCTTTCTTCCTCTTCCTTCTTCTTCCTCCTCCTCTTCCTTCTTCTTCCTCCTCTTCCTTCTTCTTCCTCCTCCTCTTCCTCTTCTTCTTCTTCCTCTCTCTCCTCCTCTCTTCTCTTCTTCTTCTCTCCTCTTTCTTCTTCATCCTCTTCTTCTTTCATCCCTCTTCTTCTTCTTCATCCTCTTCTTCTTCTCCTCTTCTTCTGCATCCTCTTCTTCTTCATCCTCTTCCTCTTCTTTCTTTTTGTCTTCCTTTTGCAGGTCACTGCTCATGCGCAGATTTTTTTATCAGTAAAAGATCGGCCGATTTGCCCATCATTGCCGCAAAAATCTGCCGATCGGCAAAATCGGCCGATTTTTTTCCAACTTTACCGATTACAAAAAAATCTGCCAAAATACCGAAAAACTGCCGAACATTTAGCCCACTAACGATCCGACAATCGGCCGATTTTATTTTCGGCCGATTTTCGACCCATCTATGGCGTGCATAAGGGAGCATAAAATAAGTATTTACATCTTAATCTCTTACCCCTAACCAAGCCCACTGCAGAGGTGATTTTTTTGTTTTTTTTATTATTATTATTATTATTTATTTTTTTATCTTCCGCTGGAGAACTTAACCAGTACACATTTTACAATTTTTAGTTGCTGAATTTAGTAATCTATTTTATGAAATTATATACATGTCAAACGTTTATTTAAGCAAGATCAGGACTTTTTTTTTTTTTTTTTCTCAGAGAATTGGTGCAGTAACGCCTCCAATTCTGAATCACTTCTAGTCTCCTCCCCTTACCCACTTCCGAGCACAGTCCCCTACACACCTCCCAGTGATGCTTCTTATAGAGAATACACAGCCAAATATGGGTTTGTGGTGCTAAGTAATTTGTAATAACAAGAAAAGTAGTAAAATAGATCCCCTGCAGCCAGCACCAATGGACCCCAGCAACAAAACACCACCCCAGTAACAATAGAACTCCAGCAGCAGCAACAACAGATCTCCCAGCAGCCAGCATCAATAGACTCTCCAGCAACCATCAAAAATAGACCCCTACCTCCAAAGTAGATCCCTTCCAGCAACAGATGGCCCACCAGCAACAATAGATCTCCCCAGCAACAATAGACCACAATTTAAAACTGATTCTCTCCAGTGGCAATAGATCCCCCAGCAGCCACCATCAATAGACCTTCCAGCACACCCCAGCACCCCTTTCCTTTACATACATTCAGTGCTGGAAGTGCTGGAACTGCGCTCCCGCTCAAAGAAAGCCCTGTGCAAGATGATTGCACTGTTCCATGGCTTTACACTGTTGAATGCTTTACACTTTTCCATGGCCATGCAGCATGCATGGTAATGCAAATGTGTAGGAGTGAATGGGTCCACATTTTTTTGTTTTTTCACACTAGACTGTGAACCAGCCACATGAGAGAGAATGGGATTTCTATTTGATATGCTTTTACGTGTACTAAAATGCAAGAGTTTTAAGGCATCAAAATTGACAAGTGTGAGTAGGCCCTGAGAATTGGTACTGTGTAGGGGAAAAATACACACGATTCAGTCTGTCACTGACATTAACCACTTGAGCTCCTGAGGATTTACCTCCCTTAATGACCAGGCCTTTTTTTGCTGTTTGGCGCTGCACTAATTCAAATGATAATTGCGCGGTCATGCAATGCTGTACCCAAACGAAATTTACGTCCTTTTTTTTCACACAAATAGAGCTTTCTTTTGATGGTATTTTATCACCTGTGCGCTTTTTTATTTTTTGCGCTATAAACAAAAAACCACGAAAATTTTGAAAAAAAAACAATATGTACTACTTTCAGCTATAAAAAATATATCGTAAACTCAAAGTTAGTCATAAATTTAAGCCAAAATGTATTCTGCTACATGTTTTTGGTAAAAAAAACAACCCTGTGCATTAGCGGGCAAACTGGTGCTATCTGGGAGGGGCACTAACACTATCGGAAGTCACCAGTGACACTAATACAGTGATCAGTAAAAATCTGTTCACTGTAATCAATGACACTGGTGACAGGGCAGTGAAGGGGTTAACTGGGGGGGGGGGGGGGGGGGGCGTGATCAAGGGGTTAGACGGGATTACTGGTGTACTAGTGGGCAATCTGGCGTTATCTGGGAGGGGCGCTAACACTATCGGAAGTCGCCAGCGACACTGATACAGTGATCAGTAAAAATCGGTTCACTGATCAGTGACACTGGTGACAGGGCAGTGAAGGGTTAACTGGGGGGGGGGGCGATCAGGGGGTTAAATGTGTCCTAGAGTGTTCTAACTGTGGGTATGTGCTGTTTTACTCACTGTTTGTATGTCGTCTTCTCTGTCTGGAACGGAATGTGTCCAGGCAGAGAAGAATGACATCATATCCTGTCCTGTGTAAATGTCAACATAGGACAGGGACCGATCATCTGATTTCAGCCAGACATCACTGGCTGAAATCGAATGATTGATCCCTCCGGGATCAAATGGTGTCACCCGCGGGTCGGCGGGAGCGTGCGCGCCCCCT